CCATCTTGCCCCTCCTAGCTTCCCTTTCCCCACTGGTAACCACTACTTTGTTCTCTATATCTGTGAGTCTGTTTCTTTTTTTGTTTTATTCACTAGTTCGCTGTATTTTTTTAGATTCCACATAGAATTAATATCATACAGTATTTGTCTTTCTCTGTCTGAGTTATTTCACTAAACATAATACTCTCCAAGTCCATCCATGTTGCTGCAAATTGCAAAAAAATTAAATTTGTAAATATTAATAAGTTAAAAATTTTTTAAAAATTATTTATCTTTTGAAGTTCAAGAAAGATGAGCTGGTTTAATCTTTTCTCCTCTAACTGCTCACTTCCACAACTCCTTTGTGTTAAAGCTCCCTTGCTTGAGGTTTTAGTGACATCTTGGCCTAATCATGTAAGTTTCCCCATGTTTTTCCCTCTCATTCAAGGTTTTGGAATATATCTTCTTCATTTTAAAACTTGAGGGTTTTGTCTGCTTTTACATTATTTTCTTTCCCTCTCTTCCACCATTTCCCAGGACAGGCTGCAGACAGCTCTGAACCTCTAGCAGCTGTGGTGGAGGGGGAGCCTGGTCCACTCTCACACATGCCCTCTTATCGCTCAGTGGCTATGACAAGGAGAAAGGAAAGGGGAGGGGTTCCTTCTGTGCTTGGCCACAGTGAGGGTGCATTTCCCTTTATGCTGGTTTTGATGCTTTTCAGCCTAAGCTGACTATCTGAGTCCTCTTTGTGGCAGATGGTGAAATGCTGGCTCTCCTTTGAGCACAAATATAGGTATTTTGGGGAGGTCCTTTCCCAGCGTATATTTCCCGCCCGTGGGGATTCTGGTTCTGGCTGAGCCATCTCTCTGCCAATCCTTTTTGTAAGTCCCAGCAGCATCGAGTAATCGATGATTCTCAAAGAAGACACAATCACCAGTTCCCAACACAGTAGAAGTGAAGATGATTTGGACACCTTCAAGTTTAATAAGTGAGTTTTTAGGCCCCAGGCTCCCTTGACCTGGGGTCTGGGCTTGAGGATAGAGGTGTCTTGCTGAGGGTAAAGAACAGACAGATTTGCCTTATTTCCTAAATTGCATATTCCCTAAATTCAAACCTTCCCTCTCTGCTAACACCACCTTTATATTAACTGGCTCTGTCATGGTTACGAATAGGCCAGTTTCTCTAAACTGGCTTCTCTTTAGGCCCTGTGATGAGATCTCTGAACTTGTAATGTGGAACATTTTGTATCTTGTGTCCTCATCTTTGACAAAGACTCAGCTGTAATTCTTGGACCAAAAGAAAATTCTCAGTGGACATTCTGTGACATGCCTATCACATCAGCTAGGAATGCGTGGAGAGGCAAGTAACCAGATAAAGGTTAGCTTAAGGTAACGGACTTACTTTTCTTGTGTTAGAAAAAGCCATGGGGAAACTGTCCAAGGCTGCAAAATGGCTTAAAGCAACCAGGTTCCACCCATCATCCCACTCCTCCTTTTTTAAACTATGGTCCGATCTCCAAGTATACCTCCAAGTATCATATTCCAGATTGAAGCCTCTGGTCGACTCATTCTGTTCCTTCAATTCTGGAAAACAGTAACTTGCTGGGAAAACTCAATAGATATACAGTTGTTCCTAAGGGATTGGTCTCAAGATCCCTGGTGGGTACCAAAACCCACCGATGCTCACGTCCCTACAGTTGGTCCTTCATTTCCACGGGTCCCTTACCACTGGGTTCTGCACCCCAGGATACAGAAGGCCGACTGTCCTGCCACTGACGTATCACTGAGAACAGCAGAGTTCCTAGGTAGGAGGGAATCTGGGTACAATTCCCATTTAAACAAAATCAAGATGCTATTAGTAATGAAACTTTGGTCGAATGGGTATTAATGCCTCTGCACTCTTACTAGGTGTTAAACTGCATGAGAGCAAAGGTCCAAGGTCCTGTTTATTTGTTCGCTGTGATAGTCCTAGTTCTGTGCCTGGAAATTAACAAATCGTGACATACATACTGAATGCATTAGGAAGCATACCATAATTTTGGTTTGCCAACCATCTTATATTTTCTAGAACCACCAGAATAATAAAAGAGAGGGTGTCTAAAAATAATTACAATAATATGGCAAAAATTGAGCACATTTTATGACACATTGGAACTCCACAAAATGGCAATTGGATTACTGAAACTGAATCTCAAGCATGGCATGAGTGAGCTTAAATAAGAATAAGTCAGCATGCCTTGGCTGTCTAATACCCTCAGAGTATGTAGTACTCTGGATAGAGAAGACTTGCTACACTTGAGCAGCTATGAGTACCACTGGCTAATATACATCTCATCTCTCCTCAGAAAATCCTCTGGATGCTGAAAAAGTTCTTGAGAGTTTAAGTTCTTGGCCCAGAACATAGAGCTGGTAATGGCTGTGCCATTACAATGTGCTAAGGACTCTAGCCACTGAGTCCTTCAATCTAAAAATTAAACTAAAATCTATTCTTATAAATGCTTCAAATGTGTTCTGTACATTTCTTTACATTCTTAAGCAAGTTGTAATAAAAAGGAAACCTATACTTTGAATAAAGGCTTTGTGAGATGAACATAGGTGATGTAGATTTAGCCAGCTCCTGGCAACGAGTATGGGGGTGTACTTCCTCTGGGCTCTCATGTTGTATGGTTCATTCAGGGAACTGAACCATCGAGGACTTGCTTCAGGGAGGTATGCAGCCCTGGTGAGCATTCTGAATATCTGTGACTTGCACCGAGTTCCTGCAAGGGCTGGCGGGATGAATGGTTTATTTGTACACTCCCCACAGAGAAGGGCCAGGGATTGAGACAGATGCCCCACTTTCTCCACCCTGCTTGATATCACCCTCCAGGCAGGTGAGTGAGTGAAATCATACATCTAGCAATTTAATGATATCTGCTGTGGGTGCTTGCACAAGAATGATAATGGGGAGTGTTGCACTGTCATGAGCCGGCAAGAAAGGTCAAAGCCACACGTCCGTGTGGGCAGAGAGCCAGTCGGAAGGAAAGGGAATTACCACCTGTCCTGGAAATGAGGCACAGCGTGATGGGGATGAAAGAATTCTCGACTGAAGAGCAAGAAATCTGATTTCTAACTTGGCCTCTGCATTATCAGCTAGTTCTATGAGCAGGTGGAAGCCAGTTAACGCCTATGGGCCCTGTTTCTTCATTTACAGACTGGTGATGTCTTAAGTCTTAACGTTCTTTGATTTCATCCAGACATTTCTCAGGATCTGATAAACATTCCACATGATCTAATAAAAATTTGAGCTGTAAGGAATCCTAGGTAACGTGTGCTCAACATTAATAACTTTAAAGGACGACATAACCTTTGTATCTTTGGGGTTTTTTTCCATGTTTTATCTAGAATTTCTTTAGAAGATATATTTAAATCTAATTTAAATATAAATTAGATTTATATTTTCCTGGATTGAATTTGTAGTTTTAAATATATATTTTCTTTTCTTTAATAACAGGAATTTCTCACAGACTTTTTATTTTTAATACCCTGCCTTTTCCAAAAAGTATTTACAGTAGATTTATAATACGTTTAAGTCATCTGACCTCTGGGCATATTTTCCTTAATCACTCTGCAAGCTAGCATTTATGCAATACTTTATTTATGCAATAGTTTCTATTTTCCCAGCAATGTAATAAGTGCTTTTCCTGGGTTACTTTAATTCTCATAACAATAACTGTGAGACAGATAGAGTTGCCATGTGCAGCTTTTTCATACAGAAACTGAGGCCCAGGAGGGTGGAGTACCTTGTCTGGGACCCAGATTTGTGAGAGAGAAGACAGAGAAACAGAGCCTGACGGTGCCCGTCTGTGGACAGCTGGGCTAGGGGCTGGGAGAAGCGATTTAATTGGCCAGATTTCCACTTTTGGACATAATCATGTATTTGGAACTACGCTTCAGACCCCCAGCTCTACTGACTTTTTTTTTTTTGTCTTTTTAAAATTCCTCCCCTGATACTGGAGCTCCATTTAAAAGCTTTATGATGAGAATTTTAGAAACAATACCAAAGGAGAGATGAAAACATTGTTCCTTGAGCTATATTTGGAATATAAAAATTTTTTAAGAGGTCTCTTAAATTTTGATTATGATTAAAGTGACAGTAAAGATAAAATAACTATATTAAATTACCCTTTTACATTAGCTGTTTTCCCTCTGTGGGAATTTAAGTTTCAGAAATAGAACTATTTTCCCTGATTCTTTCTTTTACCAGGAGTCCAGTGACTGGGTAAATGATGACTGGGTGAATGAATGATGTGTTTTTCAACTTTGGGAGCACGAGGGGAGGGGTGGATGTAAGTTTTATTTATACTGAGATAAAGCAAGCACATTAAAAACCTGCTAGAAAGTAAATGTAAGGGCAAGTTCGTCATTCAGTATTGCCACGTGAGACGATTACACGCTGTCTTTAAATTATGGGATTTTATTAATGCATTTTATGCCCTGTGTAGTCCCGATGTACAGTTATTTTTAGAATAAACAGGAGAATATTTATACCTAAATAAAACTTCCTCTGGCTTGACACGGTTTCATAATGTAATGCTATAATGCCATTATCTAAATTGATTTCTAAAGGGTGGTAATGCTTTCTAATGGGTGGGAATGATTTCTGTAAGCTCTTACTAACCTTTGAGATTAAGCATGTGGCTGACAGTTGTGATGGAAAAGGCTGACTCCTGGCATTGTTCTGGGCACCAGGGATGCACTCATGGTGCAGCGGTGGGCATACCACACAGCCCCTCTGTTCCGAACACTGGGCTGAGCTAGGAGATGGACAAGCCAAGGTCCTTCTTCCACAGGAGCGCCTGGTCTGGTGGGCAGGAGAGACATCCGCTGGCTTGTGGTCGCAGACTCCACTTGCAGCTGTGCCTCATGGTGTGTCTGCAGAGCATGTCTGAAAATAGCCACTCCACCTGTCTCTCAATGCTACATTCCAGTCTGGGACATCTGCTCCTTTTGTTGCTGAAAAGGCAATAACATTTATGGCATGTACAGTTTGTTTTATTAATTCTAATACCATCCATACCTTCAAAATCAAAAAAAGTGAAGGGAAGAAATAATTTGAAATTTTGGGGCACCATGAAATTTCTGAGAGATTAAGAATTTTCTTCAAGTGAGGATAATGAGGGAGGGGTGGATGTAAGTTAAAAACGCTAATTACCAGTGAAAAAGTGAGACATTTCTTTAAAATACAAAATGCTAAAGTGAAATTCACTACAACAGTGTACAGTCTGCCAGCCAAAAATTGTTTTGATTTCCCACATTTCAGTGAACTACAGTAGTTTATAAATATCTCTAGAAGGAGCATTTCTTCTATATCTAATAGAATAATTTGCTTAGAAGCTGGTGTCTATGCCATTCATTCATTCATTTATTGTTGGTAATTATCACATGCCTGGTGTGTGTTAGGCACTGGGGATTTATCAGAAAACAAAGCTCATTATAGAATCTCAATTTTTATTTTTTTGGGGGGGTAACAAAATAAGCTGTTAAATACATAATATTTATGTGATAATAGAAAAATACAACAAGATAAGGAGTAGAGACTAGCAGTGTTGGGGAGGGGTATTCTTTCAAATGGGGATGTTCTAGTGTCTCTGAAAAGGGGGCTTGAGTGCTTTTGTTCAGCCGGGTGTCTCCTAGACTCTGTCTGCCCCTTGCTGAAAGCAGGCATTGTTCATACAGCTCCTGGACTTCTTTTTCTGTCTTGACTCACTTATTTCCTCACTGTATCATCAGAACTTGTGTCCACAAATCCTCTGTTTTCACCTAATACTCTTCACCTAATAATTTAGTTTCACATTATTCTGGATTTGATGACTTGATGTCTAAACCAGCTCTTTGAGTTTCCAGTGAATTAATCGGATTTATCATTACTGGCATGCAGGCATCTCCAGCTTTGCAACCGACTTGTATGTCAAACGTTTTTGCCTTTAAGACTTTTGAACCAGTTCTTCTAAGATAGAGGTTTGAAAAGAGGGAGAAAGATTCTGACCTGAAGCTTTTCTTCCCTTTGCTCAACGGATTGCTGTGTGTAGATGCAACGTTTTCTGTATGGAGTAACTGCATGCTTTCCTCTGAAAGGACCCAGTTGATCTCAGACTACTTGGGTGAAGCCTCAGTCTGTGCAAGCTGGCCACAGACCTATGAAGAGAGAGTGTTCTAGAAGCCCTAGTGCTGACTTGTGAAATATTATAATGTGTTAGGCAGCAGTGGTGTAGGTATTAATGCAGGTTTGATATTTTCATGTTTACATCTTGACCTTGAAAGGAGAATGAGAAATCCTATCTGTGGTATACCATAATATTGTGACTTTAAAATCACAAGTAGCCAGGAATATTAAAAAGAAATGGAAGATTTTTATCCTAGAAAAGGAAACCAATTTAGAGTTTTATTCTTGGTATTACGAGTCAGAGAGGTAGATATTTGTAGATAGTCAACACCCAGTGTGATGGGTTAAAAAAGCAATTTTAGAAAATGTAACTGAATAAATACCAGCCTTTTTTGTGTGTTGGAATGAAAATGTCCCCTGCTAGTATGGAAATAACAAAGGAAACAAATGCTTTTAAACATTGCTGTGAGGGGGGAGAAATTCAGCATTTCTATTTATAACTTGTACAGAGTCCCACATAAAAATAGCTCCAACTAACAGATTTGCTCATATCTGGAATACAAAGTTGTTGCTGCCCATGACTTGAGGAATTCTAATAAGAAGAACGTGGCATGGGTAAATATTGAAAGTTTGTCATCTTTTCTGTGACCCCAGTTTTCATATGGGGAGAAAATCTATGCCTGAAAGAGTCCTGGATTCTATGTCGGGCTTTTTGTTACCTTCCAGGCTATGGGGCTCTGATTGTAATGAGAAGGATGCCTTTGCCTCCCTCATCCTCACCCCATGAGCTGGATATATTACTGATGGTTGTATCTCTGTCAGTGAAATATTTGTCAGGCTGATAGATTTACCATTTCATTCTTCTAAAGACTAATTTTGTTTGGTGTGACAGCAAAATATTAAGAACCTCAGAAGTTAATGAGAACCCATTCTTTCTCTCTGATTTCCAGCGAAGTTTCCTGGGCTATGCCAGTTTTAAAGTTGGGGAGCTACTGAAGTCGAAGGAGCAAGTGCTGGCTCTGAGCCTGAGGTGAGTCTCATGCTGTTAAAGTTAACAGCCCGTGATGTTTACGGAAGGCTGGCTGGGTT